CTCCTCAAAGCGCCTTTAATATCCTGAGGGGCAAATAAAGTATTGAATTGAATTGAATTGAATTGATAAACAAGATGTCAAGTCCATGCGCCATGTGAAAAAGAAATAAAAAATTTTAGTTAAAAAAACTGGGAGCGCTGCTAATAATATTCTAACAATATTAAAATTAAATTGTTACTTTTAAACTCATTACAGTTAAATATGTTTTGTGTTTAAATTAATTAATGTTACTTTAAGGTGCATTGTAATTTTGAAACTTAGCAGCGCGCCCAGTTTTTTTAACTAAAATTTTTTTATTTCTTTTTCACATGGCGCATGGACTTGGCATCTTGTTTATCTTTTTTTTTAAAAGATAAGTTTTTTTATGGTACGATTCTACATTTGCAAATTTAAATTTTACTGATTCATTATACGACTCTATATATGTCTGCAACTTTAATTTTCCACTGGTACAAGTTTCTACTTTCACTTGGCGCAATTTTTTTTTTATTTCATTACTTTTGTTACGATTGTACATGGGTTTATAATCGATAATTTTTCATACAATTCTATTGTACATGGGTTTGCAATGTAGAATTCTACATAAGTTTGCAATGGATAATTTTTAATACAATTCTACATGGGTTTGCAATGGTTAATTTTTCATAGGATTCTACATGAGTTTGCAATGGTTAATTTTTCATAGGATTCTACATAGGTTTGCAATGGGTACGATTCTACATGGGTTTGCAATGGTTAATTTTGCCTAGGATTCTACATGGGTTTGCAATGATTAATTTTTCATAGGATTCTACATGGGTTTGCAATAGGATAGGATTCTACATGGGTTTGCAATGGATAATTTTTGTTAATGGCGTGCCCTTAACTGGTCGCCTTTTTTTACCTTTCTTTAAAGGTTAATTATATACATCACGAGCGCGTGATTACAGGTACATATATTCTATAGATAATAACGAATTTAATAATACATATAACATAAATATGTTAGCTGTAAATTTTTGTAATATTTATATAATAATTTGTTATACACACACACACACACGCACACACGCGCACATGCACACACGCAAACACGCGCGCGCGCACACACACACACACACACACACACACACACACATATGTATACGTATACATATATGTATTTTTGTGTGTATGTGTGTGCGTAAACATATAATTTTATTAATTAATATAGAAAAATTAAAAACAAAGCAATATATAATTCAAAATATTTAGATAATATATTTAGGTGCATTTATCATTTAACAAGCATATTTATATATTTATATTATTTATATATTTATATTATTTATATATTTATATTATTTACATATTTATATTATTTATATATTTATATTATTATATTATATCTAACAGTAAAATTTATTGTAATATTACATGGCTACTTTCTTGTGACAACACAGGTAATAATATATCGTTGAACTACTTCATATAAGTTCACAAAAAAAAAATAAAAAACTTTTTATACATACAGTCACGAAGTTTAGTAAATACAGAAACATCGAATAGTAATACATCTAAATAAACAATAATAGTTAAAGCAGTAAAATAAATAACACATATACAATATAAAAAAATTATATATATGAAGTATATCCATGCATGCAAAGCTGCAATTTTTTTAATTTCATACAAAGAAAAACCTATGATACTGTCTCTGTCTTTTGATTTGACTTTTGCGAATTGATATCTAAGTAATGCATTCTAAAACAAAGCAAGACTATTTTTAATAATTAACTAAGTAGTACAGTCTTGAGTGCACAAATGATTGTTGATATACTAACATTTAAGTTGTATGTTTGTGTAAAGATATATATTTTTAAGACACTTTAAGACACTTTAAGTGTCTTTACTTTATATAATATGATCTGTATATGTACCATATATAATACACATAATATATAATATATAATATTATTATTTATTTATATACATCGACACACACACACGCGCGCGCGCACACACGTGATTACATGTACATATATACTATAGATTTACTACAGATAATAAATAAGAATTTAATAATACATATGAACATAAATATGTTAGCTGTAAATTTTTATAATATTTAAATAATAATTCGTTATATACATATATATATGTATATATATATATATACATATATGTATTTTTGTGTGTGTGTGTACGTAAACATATAATTTTATTAATTAATGTAAAAAATTAAAAACAAATTAATATTTAATTCAAAATATATAGATAATACATTTAGGTGCATTTATCATTCAACAAGCATAATTATATATTCATATTATTTATATATTTATACATTTATATTATTATATTATATCTAAGAGTAAAATTTATTGTAATATTATAGGATTACTTTCTTGTGACAACACAGGTAATAATATATCGTTTAACTACTTCATACAAGATCCCCCTCCAAAAAAATGAAAAGTTTTTGATACATAAAGTCATGAAGTTTAGTAAATACAGAGGCATCGAATAGTATTACATCTAAATAAATAATTAAAGCAGTAAAATAAATAATACATACAATATAAAATATTATTCATATGAAGTATATCCCCGCATGCAAAGCTGCAATTTTTCTATTTCCAATGCAAGAAAAACCTATTATAATACTGTCTTTGTCTTTCAATTTGATATTTGCGAATTGATATCTTGCTTTCAATTTTGTCAGATTTCAGTATTATGGAATCCTAATAGATATAAACAAAAATTTGCACAATAAAATCAATATACTGTTTATATAATAAACAAAACAAATATAAAATTAATACGCAGAAGTTAATAAGCAAGATAGAACAATATTTATTTTTCTTTCGATTTCCATAATAATATTTATCAAATTTACCTCTACTTTTATTTTATCAATGAATTCTTCGATCTGCAACTTTTTAACGTAATCGTTTATTTCCTAAAATGTATTATTTTTTAACATTATTAATAAACAACATTATTATAACATTATCAAAATTATTTAAACGTTACATAATAATTATTAACATTGCATTATTATTACATTTTGTATACATATATGAACATGTAAAATTTTTACCTCAGTTAGAAGATTTATGGAATATACATTATTAATAACAATAATTAATGCTGCAGTCACATGAACATGTCTAAAAACGAAAAAACAAATGTATATATAAAACACAATATATTTTTACAAAATACTTTTAAAAATATGTCACATTACTTTGGTCTTATGTTAAAAAAAAAATTATCGAATATGTCCTTTAGGATAATTTGATTATTCGCATGCTTCGTAATAATATATAAGAAACTGTTAAGAAGATATTGATTTTCTTTTCAAAATTAGATTTATATCTTAAATAGTTTTTAATCATATCAGCATCTTCAGTGCAAGCCAAGTATTCTAAAAATTTAGTGTCATTTTTTGCAACACCTATAGCATACACTGATTCCCAAGTCATTTTGTTGGTATTTATCATCAAACCTTTACAATATGTCCATTCCTTCCACCATGGCAAAACCCTATAACATAAAAAAAATTAAATTTTTTTATTAAAAACTAGCATATAAATATCTTGATCAAATTATTTAAACATTATAGGCGATACCTACAGAAGAATTTGATTAAGAAAAGCTAACAATATATAACAATAGTTACTTGTGTTTTTCAAGATCTTGGAGATGTTGTTCTAATTTATTGTTGGCTTCTTTCTTACAAGTGATGTCATCAAGAAGACATGCCCATTTTGCAGCTTCTTGTCGTAAACATGTTCTAAAATCGTCTCTATCATCAATTTCTTCATATTTGATTCTTTCAAGTAGCTTGTGTAATGAGTGCTTTACTCTTGACTAAAAATCGTAAAATATATATTTATTCTTTTATATATTATAAATATATTTAAAAATTCTTATATTTTTTATTATTTTTCAATACATTCTTAAAATTTTCTTTATTTTTAAACAAAGATACAGACAAATTCACTTATAGATGCTATCTATTCACGTACAAATATACGTGCAAATATATACATATGTACAATATTATACATGTACGCAAAAATATGATTTAATTTGTGTGAAATGTTTATAATATTTAATAGATATTAAAATTTCATATATTTATCAATCATATTTTATTTTTAAATAAGATATAAAATATATCTTTTTTAGAAATGTAAATTTTTTTAGCTATATATATTTGTTATATTTTTCAAGTAATGTCATCAAGAAGACATGTCCATCTTGCAACTTTTTGTCGTAAACATATTCTAAGTTTGTCTATCTCATTAATTTTTTTATATTTGATTTTTCTAAGTATATGGGATAATATGTTACTTATTCCTTCTAAAAATCGTTAAATATATATGTATTTGTTTATATTATAAATGTATTTAATAATAATTATATTTTTGTATTAATTTTCAATAGATTCTTAAAATATTATATATTTTTCTTTTTCTATAAAATTTATACAAAATACATACAAAAATACATACAAATTCATTTATAGATGCTATCTATTTTCCAATAAATTCTTAAAATTTTCTCTTTCAATGAAACAAACATACATACAAATTCACTTATATGGTAGACGCTAACGTTTATCTATTCACGTACATATGTATACGTGCAAATATACATTTATAATATACATGTACGTAAAAATAAGGTTTAATTTGTGCGAAATGTTTATAATATTTAATAGATATTAAAGTTTTATAGCTACATATTTATCCATCATATATTATTTTTAAATAAAGTATAAAATATATCTTTTTGAGAAATATATAATTAAATTTTTTCAATTGTATATGTTTTATTTTTTTTTAATTACTAATATGTACTATTTTTTAGAGTTATCAACATGTTATATTTAAATAAAGCCAATATAATTGCATTTATTGACAAAGATTTTAAGCATCTAGCTATACATATATTCAATAACAAAGTTATATACTAATAATATTGGCAGTAATGAAAATCATAGACTTTTCGGATAGTTCTTCAGGTGAGTAATTATTCAAACTGAATTTGTTTGCACATTCGTTTGCGACGTAATAGTATGTAAAATTTTATCGCTGCTGGATATATTTTTCTAAGTATTTAAATCATTTGTGATCAATGGGTGTATATGTAAATATTTAAATTGTAATATTTTCATCAAAATTGATTAATATCTACCGTATAATATCTAGTTTCTTCTTTCAACACTGGAAAAGAACTACATATATATTCCAGAGCTTTAAACATAGGATACCATGCTATATAATCTTCTTCTTGATGCAAATACGATGTGATGTTCCAAAATATATAGGAACGGAGATGGCCTGCTATCATTAAATTAAATGCATCGTCGATAATTTGGGCACGATTAAGAACATGAATTTTCTTGTAATTATGGGAGTGTAGATAATTTGTAATTCTTTGCCAATTCTCTTCATCATAGTTAACGCGATAATATCCTGTCGAATAGTAAATAAATTTTATCAATTCTTATTGTTCTGAATAATTTTATTATTAATATACTTATTTTTAAACTTATTTCAGTTTTTGTTTCATACTTTCTTAATATAATTATAAATTAAAAACGTATGAAAAATGTAATACATGTAAATAAAATGAAATACAAATAGAAAATTAATTATAAAAATGTCATCCTAATACTTGAAATTGCAGCAAAAATTAAACTGTGCAAGATATTGTTGTACATCATATATCTGTGGGATCCGCGAAAAAGAATCGGGCCTTCGGGTGACTAGACCGGGACTCGAACCCGGAACCTTCCGCTTGCCGGGCGACTGCTCTAACCATTAAGCTACCTAGGCCCTCTGCCTAACCTTCTCGCATCACCCACTTACGCGTTATGGAGGAGTCCCGATACTACATATCATAAAATAAAATTGATTCTAGTTGTGCATAAATAACAAATATTTAATGCTAACCAATATATAATTTCGGTAACATGTAACGTTAGTTCGGTAACATATTACAAAAATTGTATGTTACCTGCACTTATTATTATTAATTTTAAAAATATAATTATCTTTTTAATAATTTTTACTATTAGTAGCATAAAATATTTTATTAATATTGATGATGTTATTTAAAAAACGTGTATATATTACACGTATAAACTATGTATATCTTAGAAATAATATATATAAACCCATACAGCACAGATTATTGCAATTATATTGCAGCAAAGTTGCAATGTTGCAAGTTGCAATGCAACATTATAAGACATTGCAGAGATATAAGTGCACAAAATTCCAGCACACTTGTAGCAACATGACATTAATATTTCGGAAATATTGTATGTAATCCAAATTCTATAATTTATATATTGTAATATATATGAATTAACTACAACGTATTTTCATTAATGATTTATTTACATTTCTATACCTGTATATGCAACATTATAGTTTATGGTTGCAATAACAATGCATTATTGCAAACTCATAACATATTGCAATATTGTTGTAATATTTTGTTGCAATCTTCCAAAAAGCGGACATTTTAACATTGCTGCAATTCAACAGCAATGATGTAGCAACATTTTGCAGTGAATTTGCAATATTGCAATATTGCGGTAAAAGATTGTTGTAATGTTTTTGCAATCTTTCGGTGCTGTATGGGAAGATATGATATATATAATGATATTATATGATAGAAATATAATATTAATAATATATATAATGCAGGTGACGTAGTTTGACACCCAGATAGCCACAGTAATTATTATGACATTATTTTAATGTCAAAATGCATCATTTGCCATCAAAATGATGTATTTTGATGTCAAAATAATGTCGTAATAATTACTGTGACTATCTGGGCAGTTGTGAGGAGGTGATGAAAGATGAGATTGAGATGGTAGAGAGAAAGAAAAAAGTCATAAATGACGTATATAAGTAGTAGCTGAAAGAACTAAACTTTATGGTGAAGAGACTGGTGGGTGTGGTGGAGAGTTGTGGTATGGAGGTGGGAGAGGAATAAAGCGGAAAGGAAGAAAGGTGAGGAGGTGCCTTAGGAAGAAAGGAAAATGGAAAGGAGGAAAGTATGATTGAAGAAAAGATAAAGAACAAAGAAGAAAAGGAAGGTAAAGAGAGTAAAGTAATATGTGGTGATAGTGAAGAGAAGTGGTCAGAAGGAGAAGAGGAGATAAAAGGTTAAGAAGTGCAAAGAAGGCGAAAAACGGTGTATGAAGACGGTAGTGGAGAGAGGGAAAAGGAGTTAGGAGGAGGTGAGAACGGAGGAGAGAAAGAAAGAAGTAGTGCAGAGAAAGAAGAGAGAAGAGAGGAAGAAAATGTATTATGAGATGGTAAAAGAAGATGGACGTATTACGAGATGGTACAGAATATGATGAGAAGTGTGGATGTAAGAATGGAAATGAGGAAAGGATAGGTGCTTAAGGAGGAGTACAGAGTTGATGGTCGGGATGGTGGAGAAAGAAGAATAAAGATGATTTGACGGGAGGAGAAATAAGTGTTACGAGAGAAACGAGAAAAACTGTAGTGGCGAGAGGAGAAATACGGTTGGTGGAAAAGTGAGTAGAAGGAAAGAGAGCTAGAATGGAAACAAAAGAGAAGGTAATGGCAGAAGATGAGGATGGTGGAGAAGACAGCGGTAAAAAAGAAAGGAGAGAGAAACAGGAGAAAGAAAGCAGAGGAAAAGAAGGAGGAAAAGAAGATCGAGGAAGATAGAGTTGGGAAAAAAAAAGAGAAGAGAAAGATGAAAAGATGAAGGAGGGGGGGGGGGGAGAAGTATTTATTGTAGAGATGTAGAAAGTGGTGGATAATAAGAAATTTTGGAAAAAGGGTGGATGATGAGCAGCCACAATTTCTTTCCAAAATTTCACAATACCTTGACTATATAATTGGCTAAATTCACACAATATATAAAATATATAAAAAAATTACAAATATGTTAAAATTATCTGTATAACGTTAATATTATAAAAAATTTTAATAAATACTAAAAAGTAAAATATAAAATTGCACTATTTATATATTATATATCTTATATTTATATTATAATAAAAAAAAATATAATATAATTTTAATAAAATTTAATAATTTTATTAATTAAGAATTTAACAAGGCTCTGTAATATAAATATAAATATAAATTGAGAGTGTCAAACAGGCAATAAGAGCCAAATCGCAGATGACAGTGCGTTATCCCAACGAAACTAAATTTTTTCGTTGGAATTAAAAACCTGTGCACACAAAATCTCTTGTAGAGATTATTCCAATTTTAAATCTTAGCCGTGACCAAGTAAAATTTAGTGTCTTGTGCACAGGACTAACGCATGCCGAATTTGTGCTGAATTAAAACCGTGTTTTCACAAGTTTGAAGGTAAATTAATAAAAGCCACTTAACCGTTTGAAAGATTAAATCTGGATTTCAAAGGCCCCTTACCTACTAAGACAAGAAACCAGTATATTTTAACTGTTGTTGATAAATTTTCAAGATTTCCTTTTGCTGTACCGTGTACTGACGTCTTAACGACTACAATAATAAAACACCTAAAGCATCTTTTTCCATTTTTGGGACACCGGCATACATACACTCAGATAGAAAAACATTATTTATATCACACGAGTTAAAACATTTTTAACTTCCCAGGATGTCGCAACCAGCCAAACAACTCTCTATAACCCAAGAGGAGACGGTTGAAAGATACAATAGAATAATATGGAAAACTATCACGCTGGCTCTAAAGTCAAACAATATGAAAACTGAGCTGTGGGAGAAAGTAATAGACTCTGCATTACATTCTATCCGCTTCCTTCTCTGTACTGCGACAAACGTTACTCCACATAAACGAATGTTTAATCATCCCAGACGATCATTTAATGGGAGTTCATCACCAACGTGGTTGACTAAACCTGGACCAGTCTTAATGAAGAAATACGTCCGCACTAGTAAACATGATCCATTAGTAGAAGAAGTAGAATTAATAAAAGCAAACTCAGAATATGCATACGTTAGACTTTCGGATGAACGAGAAACAACGATATCAACTAGACATCTTGCTCCTCAAGGAGAAAAATCAAATGAAATAGAGGAGGAAGATGAAATTAAACTGCCCAAACATCAAACAATAAATCAACAAAAGTAGAAGACAAAAAAACAAAGGAAAATGAAGGATCCGCGATCGACTGAGAGTTCAGATGAAATACGACGCATGTACGCTTAAAACATCCTTCTGATTATTTATCAGATTATGTAATAGACTAAAGGGGAGGATGAATGTGATACTATTTAAGTATGTTTCGGTTGGTCAAATTGAGTAACTAGTTTATTTTATGTTTTATGATTGGCTATACTGACAAAAGGAAAACGCACGCTTCTTTTGACACAACTACATGGTTATGTGCAAATATTAGAATAAGAATTTGTACCAGATTTTCTGTTTGTTAAAGCCTTGAATAAATAAGATAAATACTTACTACAATATCTAATATTTGTGACACATACATTTAAATGTATTATATGTTTGGAAGCGTAATATAGTAAACGCGTGGGTCAAGACGGAGCCAGGGGCTCCGCCCCTTTCCTTGCACCCACCCCTTTTCCATAAACTAACCAACCTATGTTCAAAGAACGAATTTTAAACATAATTTAATTAGGGTTAGTTTTTGAGAGTGAGGAGGTACAGGAGGAGGGGCGGAGTCCCTGATTCCTTCTTGATCAACGCGTTTACTGTATTACGCGTCCAAGCATATAATGCATATACATATTTAAATGTATTATATATTTGGACGTGTAATAAAGTAAACGCGTGAGTCAAGAAGAAGCAGAGGCTTCGCCGGGCTTCGGTCCTCTCCTTGCACCCCCACCCTCTTCAAAAACTAACCTTAACCAATCCATTAATATTGAACCAAACCATCAATATTCCATTAATATTGAATGATATTATTTGGAAAATGTCTAAGTATATCTTAAATATAATATTACATATATAATATATATAGTGCAGGATACGCAGTTTGGCAGTTGTCAGATGATGATGCGAGAGGAGATAGGTGTTAAAGAGAAAAAATAAAAGTCATAAATTATATATGTAAGAAAGAGTGGAGAGAACTCAGTTTTATGGTGAAGAGACTAGTGGGCGAGGTGGAGAGTTGTGGTATGAAGAAAGGAGAGGAAGAAAGTGGAAAAAAAGAAAGGTGAGAAGATGCGTTAAGAAGAAAGGTGGAAAGGATAGAAGTGTGATTGGGGGAAAGATAAAGAAAAAAGAAGAAAAGGAAAGTAAAGAGAGTAAAGTAATATGTGATCATAGTGAAGGGGAGTGGTCAGAAGAAAGAAAGAAGAAAAAAGGGTTAAGAGCTGCGGAGAAGGCAAAGACGGTAAAGAGACGGTAGTGAAGAGAAGGAAGAGAAGTGAAGAGGAGGTGAGAAAAATGGAGAAGAAAAAAGAAGTAATGAAGAGGAAGAAGAGAGAAGAGAGGAAGGAGGACGTATTACGAGATGGTAAAAAAAGGTGGACATATTACGAGGTAGTACAGAAAGTGATAAAGGAAGAAGTAGTAGTATAAAGTTGTAAAGAAAGAAAAGAAGAGAGGAGGTATGAATATGGTCGAGAAGTGTGGATGTAAGAATGGAAATGAGAAAAGAATAGATGGTTAAGGAGGATTATAGAGTTGATGGTAAAAATGTCGGGATGGTGATAAACGAGAATAAAGGAGGCTTGACGGAAAGAAAAATAGGTGTTACGAGAGGAACGAGAGAGGATGTAGTGACGAGAGGAGAGGTATGGTTGGTGGAGAAAAGAGTAGAAGGAAAGGAGAAGAGAGGGAGTAGAGGGCTAGGAGAAGAACGGAAGATGAGGTAGTGGCAGCAGAAAATATACGTATAATGCAGAAGAGAGCAAAGAAGAAAAGAGAGAGAAAAAAACAGGAGAAAGGAAGCGGAGGAAAAAGAGAAGTAGAAGAAGAGGAAGACGGAGTTGAAGAAAAAGGAGAAGAGAATGAAGAGGTAGAGAAGGACGGGGAGGAGAGGTATTTATTGTAGAGATGTAAAAAGTGGTGGACAAAAAGAAATTTTGGAGAAAGAGTGGATGCTGAAGAGATGTGGGATTGGGATAAATGTGGGCTTGACGATGGTGAAGAGATGGGTTAGGTGATGGCTAGAGGATTGGGGAAAAAGTTCATACGAGGATGAAAAAGATAGTACAAAAAGTGGATAGAAAGGGAAGGATCGCGAAAATGAAGAGAGTTAGAGATAGAAAAAAAGAGAGATAAAATGGAGTAAAAAGTGGAACGAGACGATTAGAAAGGGCGAGACAGAAGAGAGTAGAAAGTACGTTTTGTTTTTTGTTACAGAAAAAAAGGAAAAAGGAGATGGAGGTTAAGGTCAAAAAAGGAGAAAGCAGAGAATAAAAAATGACAATTACGTATGTGTAAAAATAAAGACGAGGAATAAGACATAATAAGTCTCTTGGTCTATATTTACCAATTTGTTGTATATTAAATATTATCCAACCATTCTCATTAAATGGTAATGATAATTTCCAATCTTTTTCCTTGCATACCATATGATGAGTAAAATTGTTAAAATCCAAAGACGTTTGCGTAGTAAAAGTTACAGGAAGGCAATCAATTTTTAATTTGTCGATATTTTGAATGGATACATTTGCTTCGTTCTTAATATAATTTTGTGTTATTTCTATGATAGGACAATACATTTCTATATGCCAATAATTGATTATTTTTACAGCTGTATATGGTTCGTCTGCACCAGCAACAATTTTATCCCAAAAATTAATCCCAATACTTTGATGATATAATTGGTCAAATTCACACAGTATGTAAAATATATAAAAAAATTACCATTATGTTAATATTGTTTGTATAATGCTAATTAAAAAATTTTAATAAATATTAAAAATCAGAACATAAAATTGCACTTCTTTTTATATACTATATATATTATATTTATATTATGATATTAAAGAATATAACATAATTTTAAATAAAAGAGTGATGGCAAATTTTGTCCATTTTTGGGACCTCAGATTTCAAACTTTTTTTTATGCCAAATAATACTATTAGATAATATATTAATCACAGTAAAATTTCAAGACGAGCATAGGTACGGTTCCGGAGACACAAGGGGGATAGTGATGATTTTCAGTCAGCTATATGAGAAATTGTCACCTTCATTTCTACATATTTAAGGAACCGTGCCTATGCTCATCTTGAAATTTCTGTGGGATTAATGTCTCATCATATAGTACTATTTGGCATAAAAAAAAGTTTGAAATTTGAGATCCCAAACTTCGACCATATAAAATGGGCGAAAAAACAGTTCTTTTTGCTACCATTCTTTAATAACTTTATTATAAATTTTATAGGCATTATTAGCATTAATAGAGATTATATGTGAGTAAATTATTGAGAGAGTTATAAAATGATTATAAAAAGAAATAAAACAAATAAGAATTGAAGACAAAACAAAAAGAAAAGAAAAATAATTTAAAGAAAATTGTTTTACGAGAGACAAAAATAAAATAGAGAAGAAATGAAAAAAAGATGTAAAGCGTTAGATATTTAAAAACCTGATAAATAAGATTAAAAAATAAATGTAGCACAAAATGTAATTAAAAGGAAAAAATTTATTTGAATTATAGACCATATGAAAAAAGAAAGAAAAAAATAAAAAGAGTAAAAACAATTTAGAAATTATTTAAGACAAAAAATAAGAGACATTTTATAAAACTTCTATTATTAAACATTATTTATGTTACACAATTTTATTTTTCTGATATTATATTTTATATTGAATTACTCACGTGCTATTTATATATGAGCGAATGAATTTCCAAAATGTTTCTTCGGTGAGGACGTGTTGCAACATGCGCAATATAAAAGGTGCTATGATTTAAATCAAAATTATAAATTAGATATATTATAAATATAAATATATATTTACTATAATGATTAGTTGTAAACATAGTGATTTTTTAAAGAAAAATAATATATTTGTATACCGGGTAATAATGGCGCAAGAGTGAAATGTTTTTTTATTGCCGCACTGTTATCATTTTATTTAATAAGTAAACTCATTAATACTTACAAAGATAGCAAAACTTTAAAGGACCATTCAATTAATTTCCTCTACCTACATATGCGTGGGTATTGCCAGACACTTTGTGTGTGTGTGTGTGTGTGTGTGTGTGTGGGTGTGCGTGTGTGCGCGCGCGCGCGTGTGTATTACACTATTCATATAGCTTATTGATAATGAATATTGCGAGAAATCGATTAAACATAATTAAATTATGTATAATAATTAATAATTAATTAATAATAATTAAGTTAGATCTATTTGAAAAAACATGAATGATTTTCAAATTACCTTGTCAATCAACCTTTAGGAAAAAGTCAGTAGCGTTCACTTCTATGTCTTTAGGAATCATACAACTTTTATTTAAAACGTTTTTCGTTAAAATAAACTGTTCAAAAATTTTTTATATGAATATTTTAAAATGGAATAGTGATGTATATGCGCGCACACACATATACACACCCATGCGCTCACACACATACACACACGCGCACGCACACACACGCGAAAGCGCACACTCGCGTACGCGCTCGCGAGCGCGCACACACACACACGCACAAATTTATTCATTTTTAAATATATATACAGAGATTTATTGAACAATTTATTTTAGGGAAAAGCGTTTTAGATAAAAAATTATATAATTTCTAAATACAAACAGGTGATCTCTATTGACATTTGTTTAAAGGTTGCTTGGAAGGTTATTTAAAGAATATTTGTTTTAATTATAAGATAATTGTAAAAAGAATATTATATTGGATATTTTATATCTTTAACACATTACTTTACATAAACGCAAATATCTCATGAAATATTAATTTTTCGTCAATCATGTTTCAATAATTTTGTATATAAAATAATGAAAAAAATTAATATTTTTGCAAAGAAAACCACATAGTTTTCAAGGAAAAGTGTAGCGGCTAGTTGCAAAATACATTTATACATATATATATTGTTTATATTCATAAATACATTAAATATTAATGACAGAATATGCATAAATACGCGCACACGTATATACGTGTGCGTGAGCATGTACGTTGCGTGTGCGCGCGCGTGTGTGTATGTACATTTATAAAAATAATATTTCATTAAAATTCAGATACATAATTAATTATCTTCTAACTTTACACATATTGTAAAGTATTAATAATTAAAAATTTAGGCGGATTATTTTATTATATTACCTGTGATAGATTTGCGAATTTTCAATAAACTGTCATCTTGTGAAGTAGAAGGCCACATATAAAAACCATTCAAATTAAAACAGTAATGTTGATCTTGAACTACAAATAAATTTATTATTCTGTCATCAGAATAAATCTAGAAAAAAATAATTAGTATATCGATATAACCTTTTTGAAAATAGTTGCATTAAAAACAAAAACCAATATTATTATAACGTTACTTTATTAAAACGAAATACTTTCTCATTTTGAAAAATACATTAAAATAAATATATAATAACGAAATCTAACATAAATTCCAAAAAATATTAATAGCAGTCACTATTATTTAAATATAATTAGTAAAAATTAATCTACCAAACTAGCGAATAAATAATTTATTCAGTTTCACGACGTTTCGACCATGTGATTGTGGTCTTTATTTAATAAAACACTAAAATATTTTATTACATATATATTCTTTTTTAAAAACATATTAGAATCTGACGATCCTTGGAAACCTGGAAAATTTCAGCGACAACATCTTTAAATCGCTTAGAAAAAAAGGACTAAGAGTAGTATATAATTTACAGAAAAAACGAAGTAGCTTTATCAAAAGAGGTAAGAATACCACTCCTAAATTAAATAAAACAAATGTCGTTTATAGATTGGAATGCATTGATTGCAATGTTTCTTACATAGGACAAACAAAAAGACATCTAAATACTCGCATAAAGGAACACCAGAACAACATTAAAAAGCATGAATCGAATCTGTTTATTGTTAGCAAACATAGAATAGAATGCAATCACGATTTCCGGTGGCTTGACCCTTGTATTTTACACACTGAAAAACATAGACGTAAGAGAGAAATTGCCTAAATATTATATATTAAAAAGCAAACAAACACAATCAATTTTCAAACTGACACAGACAATCTTAACTCTGTTTATGATAAGGTCATTAGAATAATTTAGCGTCTTGTATCAGTAGTTGACAGAATGTCTTAGCGACATGTTAAAGTTCACAGCGCTTAACATATCATAATTTATATCTCTATATCTTAATGTGGCTTATTGGAATTGTTTTAAGTAAGTACATTGTTGTCTCTCCTTGCACGAATTGACTTGTATTTAGTTTTAGTTTTGCGTCGCCAACTATTGATTTTTTATAATTTTAGTACTTGAAAAGGATCTAAATTTAAGGTTGAAACGTAATGTACTTCATATCTAATAAAGACGAATTATAAATAAAAACCAGTATGGTCGAACTAATCATTAATTTTCTTTTAATGTTTTCACTTTGTACTATTGATTGACTTATATAATTTCAAGAAATGTTACTGCCTAAATTTGTATAATAATGTGTTAACTTTAATTTATTTCATTTGTAATTATGGTTTTCAGTTTTATTGATATGATCATTTGTGAATTCTTTTATGTACGTTAATAACTATTTTTGTAATAAAATATTTTATTGTTTACTTGATAAAGACCACAATCACATGGTCGAAACGTCGTAAAGCTGAATAAATTATTTATTCGCTAGTTTAGTCGAAATCTAAAGTTTTGTATTAATATAATTAGCAAATATTACACATTTTATAATTATTGCCTCATGACATTATATTGCAGACTTATTTATATCAAATTTATTCAGATAAATATCATGTGTACTAGCTTATTATTTTATTTTTAATTTTATAAAAATTTAAAAATGTCCAAGGAAAGGTATTAAAAATAAAAATTTTTAATAAATAAAATAATAATTATATGTATGTAAATGTGTGAAAAGGTATTTAAAAAAACTGTTGATTATTTTATATAATGCTAAATGTTTTAAAACAATTCACAAAGAATGTGTATGGATTTTGTAAAAAGGGTTTGATTTAAGAAAATATTGCAATATGAATGCATAAGTATTGTATCGTTTGCGAGAAGTACGTTGGGAGCGAGATAGCGTTGAAAATATTGAGAATAACCTTATTGACAGAATACGTTGCAAGCAATGTAATAAGACCGTCTTTAAACCAAAAATCCGACACTAACGGATTGTTCATCATGTTATTAAACCATTGTTGTGTCACTTTACGTCCTACTAATTGAGCTACTTCGATTTTGTGAGCAACAGGATATACATTTTTATCGTAGATGATATCGGTTTCCCTGAAAGTTATATTTAAATGTTAAGAGTGAGAACTTTTATATGAAATAAAACTTTATTTTTGTTACGATATTTTAATTCCATTGCTAGATGTACGATTTACAAACTCATGGATACGATTTAGCAAATCAGTATTGTAAATCGTACCAAATAATATTTTCTAATTTTTTCATTTACCATATGAAACTACGATAAATTTAATGTGTATATTGTTGACTGTTAATATGTATATTGTTGACAAAAAACAATAGATTAAAATAAATAAAAATGTCATTTCTGTTATAGCTTTACTGCAGTTTTAACAACACACTTAGGGGGTACGATTTAGCATACTTTACCTTTTATGCACTTATTAAAACGGTATACTTTAACTTTGTAATTATATAAATAAACATATTTCTACAAAAATTGTCTTCGCAAATCCTTATTCTTTTGCGCATTTACAGAAACAAAAGGTATACACGTTTTTATATTTTATAATTTTGCATGCTAATATAATTTTATTTTTATTGTAATTTCAAGCACTTGTACTCACTTATAAAAAACAAGTCCGAAAACTATTGTGCCTTTGTCATGGAAATTTGGAATTGCAACATGATCCACTTTCGAAATAATGTTCGAATGTTTCCAATTATTATTTAGAAACAACGTGATATTTTTAATTACATTTTCTGTATATTCCATGTAAAATTGCAATTCGTTTCTGCACCATATTGTAATGTTTTGAATTTTGCTATCAAGACAGGATATGTACATAATATTTTGATCTGTAATTTTCCCAGTTTCTATGTTCAATCCATGACCGCACCGCTTTTCAATATTGCGAGTTTTTATATCACTAGGGATTAGGTAATTAGACACAATTATTGTTGCGTGATCAGTCCGCATTAGAGGTGTGGTATTGTAGTGCTTCCATTCCATATTGTTCTCATCTACTTCTATATTTTGCAATGGCATATTTGTCATAACCGTGCATTGATTACATCCTACAGATATGTTAAAGGTTGCTTTTAACCATAGTTCATGTGGATGCAAACATGAATAATATTCAGAAAATGGTAGGACGTCTATTATCAGGAAATGCACACCACCTACCCAACTACATTTCAAAGAACATCAATTAATGAAACTTTTTGACAAGCATAAAAATATTGGGAATTATATAATGGATAAATGTTATATGCGGCAATACATATTATATTTCATAACTCCATTACGTATTATTATAATAATAAATATCAGGGTTCAACCTTAGATTTAAAATCCGCGATATATAATAACTTTTGGGATATTTGTAATATATAAATAGTATATTAATTACAATGTCCTATGTAATTACATATTGTACTTTTTTTAATAAACATCTATTATTTACTTACGTAGATTCTTCTTTCACATCGAAAATTCTAAAGACTTTATCAGCAATACCAAAATATTTTATATTTAAGGTGTAATTTCCTGGTGATAACTCATTCTTAAATAAAATTTCAATTGTGTCTTTTTCAATATTATATGTCGGTTTATAAACTGTATCTTTATCATGCTCATGATATCTTTCAAAATTTTTAATTATAATTATATTTTTAATACATAATTGTTCTGAATGTAAATATATGTGTTTCGTTTTGTTAAGAATGTTTATGCTGATATTGTATTCTCCATAGAAAATATTTCCTTCCATAGATGTTAAAAGCATAATATTGTAATGCATTGGTATTACATAGTTTGATGGTTGATAGCATAACGAATTACGAATTGAAGCCGTCGCAGCGATAAAAATTAATCCGCTACTTAGTAATAGTTTTAGAAATATCATCATGTCGGAGAAAAGGAATATTTATTTTAGATCTAGAAAACACTCTGCTGGAAAACAAAAGATAATTAAAAAAATTTAATATATCTTTGATGTATTTTTAAATGATTCTTGTATATAAACAAGTAAATAAATATAAAAAGTATTAGAATTATTAATTGAACAACTATTCTAATTAGCGGAATATTATATGGTGAGCAAGTAATGTGCAAATTTCCATTTGTACAATTGTTTAAATATAATATATATATATATATATATATATATATATGCTTCTGCAATTAACATACTGTACCAAAATATGTCTAAAATCTAAAATTATTTTAACATTACAGTTTGTAAAATATTATAGTATCGACATTATTTGAAATTATCAGTAGATTAAAATTTGAAAATATTCTATAATAAAACTATTCTTTTTATACTTCCATGTTGGAAATTCTTTAACATTCCGTTATAATGTATAATTAAATTATTTTGGTGTTTGTAGATAAATATATGTTTTGATATTTTAATCTTGACTTACCCAGTATTTTGTAACCAAATGTTAATTGGAAAATTATATTGATAAAATTTATATATTTTTTTAAATTAATTGCAACAAATTAATGTTTTAGCAGTATGCAATGTTGGCAGAACACAAAATTTCACACATACTTTGTTACAATCTTTATATCTATCACGGTATGGTTTGAAAGATCACGAAAGACTGACTGATTCTCTGTACGTTTTATCGTGATAAATATATTGTGTAGGTCAACAAAATTCTGAGGTCGTTAATATGCACGTTTGCGTGTGCGTGTGTGTGTGTGGCAACATTTGTGTGTAATAGTTGTCTTAATTAAACATCTTCAAATTTCGTTTAATTAATCAAATCAATTATGCATTATTAACAAATTTATATCCCGCTTATTTGAAAAAAAAATGTAAGCAGTCTTTCTAGTTCTCTATTTCTAATAGTAATCAAATTAATATGCATTATTTACTAATTTATATTACTTATTTTGAAAAGCATTTTTACAAATAATATGGTGTAATATCTTGTAATATACTCATCGCTTTCGATAATTCTACCCTAATTATTTTCTTAATTTTATAATTTTAATAATTATCTCAATAATTCTATGCATCTTATTCATATTAAATATTTTTATGAAAACTAATATTCGCGACTCTTCCTCTCCTTGTACAGATTTAAAATTTGCAATATATAATAATTTTTAAGACACTTAATACATAAATAGTATATTAATTACAATATCCTATGTAATTACATATTATATTTTTTTAATAAACATTTATTATTTACTCACGTAGTTGGTTCTATCATGTCGTAAATTCTAAAGACTTTATCAACGGTACCATAATATTTTATATTTAAGATGTAATTTCTTGGTGATAACTCATTCGTAAAGAAAATATAAATTGTATCTTTTATATGTCGGTTATTATATGTCGGTTTATAAACTGTATCTTTATCATTCTCATATTTTAAAAAATTTTTAATTAGAACTATATTTTTAATACATAATTGTTCTGAATGTAAATATATGTTTTTCGTTTTATTAAGAATGTTTATGATGATATTGTATTCTCCATAAAAAATATTTCCTTCAATATATGATATTGTAATGCATTGTTTATATATATTGATGATTGATCGCATAAAGATTCATTACGAGAAGAAGTCGTCGCAGCGATAAAAATTAATTCGTTACTCAATAATAGTTTTAGAAATATCATCATGACGGCAAAGGAATTTTTATTTTAGATATGTAAAATATTGTACAATTTGGACAAAACATAAATAATGGAGAAATTAAATATTGCTTTGATGTCTTTTTAAATCTATCTTATATACAAACAAGAAAATAAATATAAGAAATATAAAAATTAGTAATTAGAAAATCATCCTCATTAGTAAAATATTATATGGTAAAAAAGCAATGTGCAAATTTCCGTATGCACATTTTTTAAAAATAAAATTATATATGTATAAATATTAAAGCTATAGTTCTTATCAATGTATATTTTATTAAATCTTTCTAATTGAAATACTAAATAATAGAGAAATTAAATATAACTCTAACGTCTTTTTAAATCATTCTTATATATAAACAAATAAATACAAGATATATAAAATTATTAATTGGAAAACTATCCTAATTAGTGAAATATTGTATGGTGAGAAAGCAATGTGCAAATTTCCATTTGCAAAATTTTTGAAAAATATAATCATATATGTATAAATATGATTTTCTTTAAAAAAATTGTGTGTGTGTGTATTTCAGTGTCGCACATAACTGTAATTGACAGATATATACAAAAATTATATTGACAATTTATTGTATATTTTCTTTAAATAATTATTCTTATTATCAATAAATTATATACATTTAATATTTATAAAATATAAAAGTTAAAATATAAGAATGTAAAATACATAAAATTAGTTGTGTGAAGCAAATTACTTTTATAAACACAAGAGCCGTTACTTTTATATAAATATAAGCCTGTGTGTTTATTCAGAATAAGAACAAAACAGTAGGATTACAAAGGACTGAGCAGCGGTGGCACACAGAAGGAGAGAAAACATGTTTATTATTATTTTTCTTTATAGGTCTGTGTTATCTCTTCTTAAATTGTGTATTATAAACTCTAAACGGACAATTACTGAAAATAATATTAAAATAAAATCAATACTAAATTGTATCAATTATAAACTTAATAATAAATATTATATAAATATATACAAGGGGTTCCAAAACTAGCAGTAAACCTGTTAATAGCAGATACCTCAGATCATTTTTAGACGATTTTTCCTCAGCGAAAATGTCGAAGTATCAATACTTTTTTAATCATCAACGACTGAAATTAAATGGTTATTCACAAATAGAGCGTTGTGGAAATAAAATATTAATAAAACACATTCATCAATTAAATTTGAGTAGACTATACATTTAATAGAATTTTAATTTAAGACTTGATTCCAAAAATACATAATGGCAAATTTAGGAACATGCAAAACATATTAGTTTCCCGCGACATTTGCGGAGAAAAAATTAGCTTCAAATAATCCCAGAAAACTACTATTAACAGGTTTACTATTAGTTCCTACACATCCTGTATATAATGAAGTGTTTTTCAGATATTTCAGATTGAACACATGAATAAATATGTGTTAACAATTGCTTTAAATCTATATTATGGATTTCTTCATTCGATTGACAATTATAATATTTTACCATTATACTCTATAATTTATATTTACTAAATTATTTTTATAATTTTTAATTGAATTGACTCAATTTCTCATCATAGCCTTATTTTATTATTAAGTATTAAAGCTATAGTCCTTATCAATGTTTATTTTATCAAATCTTCCTAATTGAAATATTTTATATATATTCTCATCATCGATATACATGTAACATTATTGTGTTTAATTGTAAAAGTAAAAATTAAGTTTTAATCAGCAAATTTAATTCAATACCTGAAAATGTTTTAACTTCAATGGAGTACCTTATTAAATCGATATGAACTATTGTTTATGCGTTTTTAATATAATATTAACTTATGCGTTTTGACCGTTTTATAAAATATTTTATGTGGCTAATTTTACGTAAAGTATTTAGTATCCTATTTTTAACTTATATGATTAATATAATTCTACTTATTTTTAAGTGTTGTATTTATATTTATTTCTCACTTAACAAAATTAATTTGTTCACATTTTTTATAATACATCATAGTTATCATAATGATGTATTTGATATATTCCCTTGTTAGGGGATATATCGAATAAAAATTGAAAGCAATTGTTTTCTTTTTTTATTTTTCTTAATTATATAATCTTTAACAACGAAATTAATGTTAAATTTATTTTTCTTGTTACAGTTATTCTATTTAATGTCAACACTGTTTAAAAATCATTTTAAATATTAAAATACACACAGATATTTTTCTATAAACAATAAGTACGACAAATTTTAGAAAATAGAATTTAATAATTTTGTAATGAAATGACAATTAAATAAGTGTCTGTTATAATATTTATTATCTGTTATGTAAATTGTAGTTTTTAAGTTTTAGAAGTAATTTATTTGATATCAAATTTTTGTGAGTCTAAAATTATTTCAACATTACAGTTTGTAAAATATTATAGTATCGACATTATTTGAAATTATCAGTAGATTAAAATTTGAAAATATTCTATAATAAAACTATTCTTTTTATACTTCCATGTTGGAAATTCTTTAACATTCCGTTATAATGTATAATTAAATTATTTTGGTGTTTGTAGATAAATATATGTTTTGATATTTTAATCTTGACTTACCCAGTATTTTGTAACCAAATGTTAATTGGAAAATTATATTGATAAAAATTATATATTTTTTTAAATTAACTGAAGCAAATTAATGATTTAGCAATATGCACAATGTTGAAAGAATATAATTATTGACACACACTTTATTACAATCATTAGTCTTTATGTCTACTACGATATGGTTTGAACGACCACGAAAGACTGACTGATTCTCTATACGTGTCATCGTGATAAATATGTTGTGTTCGGTCAACATAAATTCTGAGGTCGATGTATGTATATTTGTATGTGTGTGTGAGTGTGTGCGTGTGCGTGCTTGCGTGCGATTGTGTATGTGTGTATGAGTGTGTCGGCATTTGAGAGTAACAGTTGTCTTAATTAAACATTCAATTTTCAGTTAATTAATCAAATAAAACGCAATATTCACAAATTTGTATCACTGATTTCGAAAAACAT